CGGGGTGGGGGCACCTTTTTACAGGCACCCCCGGGTGGGGGCACCCTTGCGGGTACCCCCAGGTGGGTACCGATACCGAAGTACCGATACCCGGGGTCGGGCAGAAACTCGTCCTCACTTAGCACCCCGCTTTCCCCATACTACTTAAGTTGGCCGTCCTAAACAGCGTTGGTTGGGCAGGGACGGGAAGCACAGTTAAAACAATTTTTTTTCTCAGAAAAATTGCTTTACCACATCGGGGCTCGAACTATAGATCTTACTCTCCATTACACTACATAGCCCTACACACTAACCACTACACCACTGTGCCTCCTTTATTATTATTATTATTATTATTATTATTATTATTATTATTATTATTATTATTATTATTATTATTATTATTATTATTATTATTATTATTATTATTATTATTATTATTATTATTATTATTATTATTATTATTACTACTTATACTTTTACTGCAAATATTATTTCATATTTAATATATAAAATAATTTTGTAGAAAATTGTTGATTAAATTAATTGACTAATTAATGAATTATCAATTGATTATATTATTATTTAATAGTCTGAGTTAAAAACACATAAACAAAATAAATCATTTGTTAAGTATATGTTTAAAGTAAATATTTTTTTTATAAAAATATAATTAATTAATAAATGTTTATCAAAAAAAGTTGTTATTGTTTTTATATATTTATATTAAAATTAAGTTAATATTTGTTTATTAAATATTTTAATTATTTGTAATTATTAATCAATATTTTTTTTTACTTTACATATGACATATACCATAGTAATTTGTTGTTATTGTATTTACGAAACCAATATGTTATTAAAAAATATATATTATAATTATTTGAAATAAATAAATATTTTTTTTAATATAGTGCTTAAAAATTCAGTATTGATAAAAAAAATTATTATATTATTTTATTATTTTAAATATAGTATTATAATTTATAAATTAAATAAATAATTTTATTTAAAAAAAATACATTAATTAGTAGTTAAATAATTTTTATACAAAATATGTTTTATTATAAATTACATAAAAATAGTACACTTTTTATTTTGAAGTTAATATATTTCAATAATTATATATTTTTAATTAGCTTTAATTATATATAATTTAATTCAGATAATAAAATCTTATTAATTCAATCAGTAAAACAATAATTGGTATAATTGAAACATTGATAATAAAAACAATGTTATTAAAATAAAATTCATTGAATTTAATATTTCTATTATCAATATAATTGCTAATATCATATTGATTTAATTGGTTCAATTGATTCAATGAATTTTTAAAAAATAAAAAATATTGCCTATAAATAATATTAGCAACAATTTTTTTTGATGAGTATATAAGCCATTTTCTAGTGCACTTTGATAACTGCAAAAATATAAAATATATTTATTTTTTAAATTTTACATTGAAAAAAAATAAATATTATTTAAACATAATAAATATAATAATTTAAACAAAATTTAATAATATTAATACTTACATAATATGTGTTTGATTATAGTAAGTATTAGTAATTTATTTATATTATTTGAAAAACTATTTCAGGTAAATATTTATTGCTAGAAATTGAAAATAAGTTGCTATATTCAACATATAAATTATAAAAATTATTGTAATGTAATGTAATGAATTAGTTAGCAAAAAACAGCATTATTATTTATTATCATTTTAATTTTATTATTAAAAGTAAAATTTTTGTTTTCAAATATTAATTTTCTATATACTGGTAAACTGGTTAATGAATAATAATAATATCGATTTAATTGTGATTCATATAAATTATGTAAATAGCTATTATTTTTTTATTGACAATAATATCAATAGTCATCAATTCTATACTATCTATAGACTATCATATGATTGAATTGATTTTATACGATTTATATGTATTCAATAAAATACTTGAATATGATTTAGTTCAATATAAATGAAAAAGTAGATCCATATAATTAATATAATGTCTATATGATAACATTTTAAAAAAAAATTTTTTTTAGCATAATTTATTGTTATTAAATCACCTTGATTTAATAACATACGAATAATATCCCAGTTTATATAATGTTTATATATAAAACAGGCATATGTTTGATACTTTTATAATAAAATAAACATATTATATAAACTGCTAGTAATGATAGCCAAATCTGTATTCTAAAAAAAATAATATTACAATAATAAATAATACAGTATTTTAAAAAAAAATTTAATATAATATTTTCTAGTATTATGTAAATAAATAAATAACTATAACTGTATATTTACTATACAGTTTATATATATATATATATTATTTTAATAATGTAGATGTTATTTATTTATATAATACATTAAAAAACTAATTTATATAAATACTAAAAATTATTTTTACACTCACATTAATATCAAATAAATTTAAAAATTTAAAATATAATTTATCATAAACTATTTTCATCCCACTAATTATTGTACAATAATAAACATTATCCAATGGATAGTCAACCAAATTATTGTTATAGTTTATCAACGATTGTTTATATAAACGAAAATCTATTGTAATTATTCTTAATTATATATAAAAATAAAATCAAATCAAATCAAAGATATAAATTTAAATAAAACATAATATATTTTAACTAATATATATATATATATATATATATTACTAGAAAATATAATTCTAGTAATAAAATAAAATTATTTATTTATAATAATATTTTTCTACATACATAATCAGTTTTGTTGAATATAACTTTCAAACCTAAGTTGCATAATAAATACTTTAGTATAGTATAATCCTAACCAAATATCTAATTAATAACTAACTAATAACTTAATAATTTAATAAATTAATAACTAATAAATATTTATCACTATTACCCTATTATCGTATTAATAAAAAGCAATTATATAAATAATTTATTAATTTGCGATAATAGTTTCTATAATAAATAAAAATATTAGCATTTTATTAAATAATGTAATTTTTTTTAACTTTTTTTAATTGAAAAAAATTGAAAATATATTTTATTTTTCAGCCTATAATATTTGGTTTGGATTAGGCTGAAAAATAAAATATATTTTCAATTTTTTTCAATTAAAAAAAGTTAAAAAAATTACATTATTTAATAAAATACTAATATTTTCATTATTATAGAAACTATTATCGCAAATTAATAAATTATTTATATAATTGTTTTTTATTAATACGATAATAGGGTAATAGTGATAAATATTTATTAGTTATTAATTTTTCATAATTCATATTTAAATGATTTATTTAGGCATAAAATTATATGAACTTAAAAAAATATACAGTATTTTTGTTGAATAAACTATTTGAATATTTTTTTTTGTAATAAATTTTATACAGTATTTCAATCTAATATAAATAGTTAATGTTATATAATTGTAAATATAATAAATTTTAATTAAACTTTTTTTTTATATTACAAGTAAATAATATTTTGAATGAGCTATTTTTGAATATTTATTATAATTTATAATATTTAAAAATAAAAAATAAATTTAATTACAATACAATACAAAGAGTTATTTATTTAATAAAAGTAATAATCAAATAGTCTATCAATTATTTATTAAAAATATCCATTTGAATACATTTATAAAAACTAAAATGAAATTTAACTTAATAAAACTTATTTTCTATTTATTAATTACTATTACATTATAATTTATTTTATATCGTATTATAAATGCAAAAAAAATTAAATATAGATTAAAGTAAAAAACTATGGCCACTAAGATAAATTAATTATAAACTAAAAGTTTATTATTTAGTGTCTAATTATGTGTTAAGTAATTTTGGTTATAATACTAGAAATTGATTTTATTTGATAATTAATAATAGATTAATTAAAATAAAATAAAATAATTTAAATATATTTTTAGTTAGTTTAACTGATAGAGAGATAGGGATAATATAGAAATTTAAAAAAAAATTGACTACAAATGCTAGCAAAACGCCAACAACAAAAAAAGTATTTAATTAATAAAAATATTAAATAAATGCACAAAAAATTGAAATTATTGAAAAAAAATTAGTTACAAAAAATATATTATTATAACTATTTGACTTTTTTTAAGCAACTATTATAACAACTATTTAATAGAGTATAAAAAATTATTAATCAATAAACTATTAATTATATATAAAATAAATTATATACTTTCCTCTTTTTTTAAAATAATAAATTGTATATAAATTAAATTTATTTAACGTTTTTAACTTTTAATTAAATTTAATTATTTTAATTGAATATTATATGTATAAAAAATTTATTTAAAATATTTTTAATATAAATACTATTAAATTGTAATTGTATAATAATAATTATAAAAAATAATTTAATAAAAAATAATTATATACTGCACAATAATTCAAATATAAATACACTTTATATATATATATATATAAAAACATTAAAATATTAAAAAACATTTTAAATAATAATATTTATTTTAAATAAAAAAAATAAATATTTTTTATATAACATAACGTTATTTATGTTGAAAACATACAGTGATTGCCACGAAAACAGTATCATATTTTCTGCACACTAGAGTAGAGATAAAACTCTTATATTAACATAATATAACGGTTTGGTTTTATCAATATATATATATATATATATATATATTGTTAGTACTACAGTATAATTATAGTTAGTTTTGTGCTTTTTTCTACAAAATATTCATTTTTTGGGGAAAATATACATTTTTTGTAAAATGTGTATATTTTGTAAAATTGTGTATTTTAAGGAAAAAAATGGAAAAAATACTAAAATGGATTTTTTTATTGAATATATTAAAGTTTTAGTACTATTTTTATATTCATTGTATTAATATTATACAGTAATAGTAAGTACTTTATATATAGAGCTTTTGGATCGGTTTGGTTGGGAATAACACAACAAAACTTCAACAAAACATTTTTCTAGTCTAAACTTTTTTTCACATTACAGTCAAAGTTACAGTTTAGACGAGTTATATAATACAGTGTTGTTATTGTTGTTGTTGTCATACATTTAATACATAGTAATAGTAGTAATAGTTATACAGTATTACAGTATAGCCTGTTATCACACATTCAAAACCGATTGATCGGTTGGCCGGAAAATTTGGTCGGAAATTTGTGCGGACACATACCCAGTCAAGCGGTTAGTGTTCCGGATAACCGATACTACAAGTGATCACACAAACGGGTTAACCACTGGCCACTAGTGACCGACCGATTTCGACGTATGGTTTTATGCATAAACGCAAACACCCGAAGACCGACGGAAATATCAAACGTACCGATCGATTGGTCAGCAGTCAGTACATCCATTTATCATCCGATTATTGGTGGCCGAAGAAATTGTAGTCCAGTTTATAGTCGCGCATATCATTGGCCGGCGTCGGAGGCCAACAGCGGCGACGACAACGACGACAACAACAACAACAACGATGAGTATGTCATCGCATCAGACGTCGACTTATCATTCGTCGGACAACAATAGCTACGGCGGCGGCGATCATAATGACTATCTAATGTCGTCCTCATCGGCCACTGGTGGCGGCGGTGGCGGTTCAATGTCCCACTCGTGGAGCGATACAAATCTGATGTCAATGGGCAGTGGCGGCGGCGGCGGTGGATCGTCATCGCCGCGCACCGGTATGTCATCGATACTGGCCGGCAGTATTGGTGGTACTGCGGGATCGTCTGCCACCAAATACGAAGACCTCAAACAAATGCTCGAATCCAATAAAGATGGCCTTAAGTTGGAAGCAATGAAACGTTTGATCGGAATGGTAGCCAAAGGTCGATCGCCGGATTCGGCTCGCGAACTGTTTGCACCGGTAGTCAAAAATGTTGTCACCAAAAATGCCGAACTCAAAAAACTAGTGTATCTGTATTTGAGTCGTTATGCCGAACAGGAACAGGATCTGGCGTTGCTATCGATTGCAACATTTCAACGATCGCTAAAAGATCCGAATCCACTGATCAGGGCATCGGCCATACGAGTCCTGTCATCGATACGGGTGCCGATTATTGCACCGATTATGCTGATAGCCATCCGCGACTGTAGTAACGATATGTCACCCTATGTACGCAAGACTGCCTGTCACGCAATACCGAAACTCTGGTCACTGGAGCCGGACTTGAAAAACGAAATCGTCGACATCATTGAACGTTTGTTGAACGATCGGACAGCGCTTGTGTTGGGTTCGGCAGTGGCCGCTTTCGAAGAGGTTTGCGCCGACCGAATCGATTTGATTCATCAGAATTACCGAAAGTTTTGTTCGCTTCTGGTCGACGTCGACGAATGGGGACAAATAATTTTGATCAATATGTTGATCCGCTACTCGCGGACACAGTTTTTAGATCCCAATCCTCCCCGGCCAACAACAGCGACCACCAAAGCTTCCGCCGCCGCTGCCGCCGACATTCCCGTATTAGATGCCGATCATAGGCTACTGTTGCGTAGCGCCAAACCATTGCTCCAGAGCCGCAATTCGGGTGTCGTACTGGCCGTCATTCAACTGTATCTATCGTTGTCGCCACAGAACGAGTTAAACTCACTGATTGTCAAACCGTTGATCCGGTTATTGCATTCGCATCGCGAAATACAGTTAGTTGTGCTCAAGAATATTGTTACGCTGACCACCACCACTGTTGCGGTCACTCCAGTGGTCGCTAATGGCGGCGGCGACGACGGCAAAGATAAGGCATCACTGAATCAAAATGATTTGACCAATAAATGTGACACAGAATTGATGGACAAAGAAAATACTGATGCAATCAATCAAACGGAAACTAAGAAGACTAAAGATAGCGATGAAGACGAGGAAGAGGAAGAAGAAGACGAGGAAGACTTCTTGAAATTTGACACAACAGGCGGCGGTAGAACTGGTTATTCTTCATCGGATAGATCTATCAGACAACTGTTTGAGCCATACTTGAAGTCATTCTTTATAAAAGCCAAAGACTCCACTCAATCGAAGATTTTAAAGTTAGAAATACTGACCAATCTATCGAATTCGGTAAACATTTCGCTAATTTTACGCGAATTTCAAGCTTACATAATGAACTATCAGGAAGACCTAGAGTTTATGGCGGCCACCATCCAGGCTATCGGTCATATAGCGGCCCGAATTGCCGAAATTGCACCCATTTGTCTCAACGGACTCATACGGCTGCTGTCCAACCGAAACGAATCCATTGTTTCCCATAGTATTGTCGTTATTCGTACACAAATTATCAACAAAGAAGAATCAATTATATCGGCTATAATCAAACAAGTGGTTCGACTGATGGACAAGATTACGACACCGCAGGCCAGAGCAACCATCGTATGGATTTTGGCCGAATTTTGTCCGGTCAACGACCGGGCCGCCCGTTACGCACCCGATGTTCTAAGAAAATTGGCCAAAACTTTCTGCCAGGAAGCCGACACCGTTAAACTACAGTCACTGAATCTGGCCGGCAAACTGATGATCACACAGGACACATCGGATCGGATCAAATTGTTGGTCAACTTTTTGTTCAATTTGGCCAAATATGACCTCAACTATGATGTACGCGATAGGGGACGCTTTTTGCGTCAATTGCTCAACGAACCCGAACTGGCCAAACGTATACTACTGGTACCCAAACAGGTACCCGATGTGGGCAAACATAGTTCGGGCGGCGGCGGCGGCGGCGGCGTCGGCGGTGTTGGAAGTTCTGATAGTAGCCGCCAGTTTCGAATCGGAACAATGTCTCACTTTTTGGCCAAAAAAGCGACCGATTATGAAGAGCTACCCGATTGGCCACTGGAACAGCCGGATCCTAATGTCAGACAACGCAAAGAGGTCTATACGGAACCAGAGTTGACCTCAACGTTCGCAAAAGTCAGCATCAAAGACCAAACAGCCGGCGGCGCCGGAGGTCAACGCAAGTCAGGATCGGTTAAGAAGTTGTTGAAAGAGAAGTCGTTCTATTCGAGTGAAGAGTCAGATGATTCGGAATCAGATGAAGTGACCGATGATGATGAGGACGACGACGAAGAGGTGACCGATGAGGATATGAGTGATGAAGAAGAAGACGAAGAGATTACTGATGAGGAAGACGACGAAGAATTGGAGGAAAGCGATGACGAAGAAGAGAGCGAAGAGGATGAGGAGGGATCTGATGACGAATCGGAAGGCGGCGACGATAGTGAAGAGGAAGAAGGATTGGTTGGCCAACAACAGGTCGTCAGACCAAACAAACCGAATCCAACAACAAAACAATCATCAGTTAATGTCTGACCACTCGATTAAATTGGATTTTTTTTTTAAATAAAAAACATTCAATTGGTATCTAATTATTATTATTATTATTAGAAGTTTTGAAATATGAGATTAAATTTTATAAATATATAAATATAATTAACTATTTGTTTGTTAATTACTGGTAATTATACTACTAATTAGTGTCACAAATAAATTTTTTAACAAAAAAAAAATCATATTTCAAAACAATATTTTTTGTAAAAGTTTTGTTTTTGTTGAGTATTTTTTGTATTTTACAGACAATTATTGTTGGAAACTCCTATTTTTTTGTGGGGGCGGAAAGGTATGTGTCTGTCTGGGCCATTGGTATGACTGTCTCGATCATCGATAACATTGTTTTTTTATATAAAAATTAAATATTTTATTATTATTAATAAATCTTATATACAATAATTATATTTTTAAAAATATATATATATATATTATTATGAATTAAAGTCTATTTAAAAAAAGGAGAAAATAATTGTGTGAAAGTGTTATCAATTACCTAATATATAAAAAAAATATAAATAATATATGCCTAACAATAATAGGACCTAACATTAACTTTTTTTTGAAAAAATACGAGTTACCGATGATTTAAAAAATATATACAGTGGTAGTTTCCAAACCCCCACTCCCCCTCCCGAAAAAAATATGACAGATAGACAGTGTATATCGCATTTGCTAATCAATCAATCAGTGAATCAATTGTGAAAAACAACATTAATTAATAATAACAAAAAAGGTTTGGAAAAAACCACTAAAAAAATTAATATTAAATTTTACTATTTATAGAGAGAGAGAGAGAGAGAGAGAGAGCGATAGAGAGAGAGATAATGATTATCTACCGGTAATCACTTGTTAGCATCAGGTGTTGTTTCCTCATCGGCTTCAAACAACTCAATAGGATAGTGCTGTTTGTAGGCCTTGAGATGGCCAACCAATTGCTGGTATTGTCCGTCCAAATGTTCGGGCAGCTGTTCATCCGGACAGCTGTAGACATCGGTAAACAGTGACCGAATGGACGGTTTCGGCACTTTTTCCGATTTGACCAGAGCCGACATAATCTCTTTGCGTACGTCGTCTTTGTACTGGTTTTCTTCGTCCTCCGCGTACCAGCCTTTCAGTTGCAATAGTCGTTTCAATCGCAGAATCGGATGATCCGATTGTTGCCAATTGCGAACTTCGTCGACACTACGATAGGCGGACGAGTCGTCGGATGTCGAGTGATGAGACACACGATAGGTCATGGCCTCGATCAGCACCGGCCGACTGTCTTCAAGACATATACGGCGAGCTTCGAGTGTTGCCAAATAGTTGGCAATAATGTCGTTGCCGTCGATACGTATGGCCGGTATGCCCAGTGCTGGACCTCTGGCCGCTTGAAACAAACAAACAATAAAACATATAAAATAACACCCAATCGTCTCCTAACACCTACCGATGCCGTCGCCTCTGTATTGTTCATGAGTTGGCGTCGATATTGCAAAACCATTATTACGGCTGAAAAATAAACAATGGATTAAAAAAACTGTTGTCAAACATATTGCTGGTGTTAAGGACGGGTATGTTATATATATATATAACTAACTAACTAACCAAAAGAAAATGATAGGACAGTCCAGTGTAGCGGCAAAGTTAAGAGCCGCGTGAGCGTCGCCCTCGGAGGCGGCGCCGTCGCCAAAATAGCACATCACTACCCGACCGTTTTGTTGGCGTTTGTAAGCGTAGGCCGAGCCGACACTGTGCACCATCTGGGACGTTAGGGTCGACTTTATCGTTACAAAGTTTAGCGCACGGCTACCGTAGTGTATCGGCATTTGACGGCCTTTACCCAAATCGTTACGATTGCCGAAACACTGGTCAAGAAAGTCTTCCGTACGAAAGCCGCGCCACATGAGTACACCTGTAGTAGTAGTTGTTGTACCAGTGGTGGTGATGGACAGGTATGTTTAGGTTATATCAATGTGTATAATCTAAGTGATCAATCACTATTACTAACCTGGCTCTCTGTACTGTCCATAGACCAGATCCGTGTCCTCGAGAGCGGCTGCCGGTCCAAAATGTGTAGCCTCTTCACCGTGACTGGTAATATAGAAGCTGATCCGACCCTGACGTTGGGCATTGTATAATATGGTGTCCATTTGGTTCAGTTTAACCATACCTGTATGTGTATGTGTGTACCGGTATAACCATTAGAAAGTGCTTATGGATGTAGACAACTATAACCTATATATATACAGTACAAGACTCTACAAACCTCTATATAGTCGTATGAGAAACGGTTTGTCTATGGATTGGTTCAACTGTTTCAGATCGTCGACAACTGGCTGACCAGATTTGTCGACTACCCGATAGACGGGAATACCCGGATAGCTGTCCGGATCGACAAAACGTAATTCCTGTGTCCACTGCGATCGGGAACCGGGAAACTGTGGCCGCTCTTCGTTGTACACCATCGACTGCGACGCCGACGACTGGCCATTGGTTTTTGTGTCGACAGTTTGGTGGCGCCGTTGTTGTTGTTGATGATGGCACTGATATTGGCCGCTAATGGCCGCCAACGATAATCGGCTTAACACTGATTGTGTGTGATATTGTTGGCCATCAATTTGTTGCGGCGGCAATTGTTTGGCCAATGATTTCAATAATAATAACTTTGCGGAAAACTTTTGATACATATTTATATGATATATCATATATGATATTATTTATAAAATATATTTTATTATTTTTTTTTTAATTTTTGGTTCAATAAGCTATACAATAGTCTAATAATTAACTTTTAATTAATTAATTTTTTTTAGTGATAAAACTTTTTTTTAAAAAATTATTTTTTTTGTAAATATATATATATATATATATATATTAATATTTTTGGTTATCATAACATTATTATTAATGGGCAAATAATATTCAATATATATATATTATTATTAACACACATACAAAAATTTATTATTAAAAAAAATAATATTTAAATAAATCAATAATAACTAATTATATTAATAATAAAAATATTTAATTGTTTAGTCATATATATAATCACATGATTAATAATTACCGTAAAAATTTGTTTATTAAATTTTTTTGTTTTCTATATAATATTATATTAAATATTCATATAATATATATATATATTTTAAAAAACACATGTCGTTAATACATAACTTATAAATTATTAACTCTTAATAATAATAATAATAATAAACAAGTTTTCAGATTTAATACCCAATAACTAAATAAAATCATTTATTTTATTAAATGACTAACAAGTTTATCAAGTTTTACTGTCAAACAAAAAACAAGTTATATTTTGTTTTAATATTAAACAAAAATTATATATTTTTTTATATAATAGTTGTTTAGCGCTATCTATTATTTAGCAAATTAAGGAATATTCTGTAATTATTAGTGGGGATGATCATGGTAAAATTTTTAATTCAATAAAAAATTTAATTTAAAATTATTTATTAACAAAAATAATATTTTAATAATAATATAATTTTAAAAATGTTGAATATATTTTTTTGCAAGTTTTAGTTGAAATTTTATTATAAAATTTTGTTAATACACACACACTCATAAAATTTATACAATATATTATAAATTAAAAATATATGAAACTAAACATTAAATATAAATAAATTTGTTATTAATATATCAATAGTTAAACTCAAATAAATTACAGATACATATATATATATATATATATTTGATATCAGTATATATTAAAATTTGTATAATAAAATACAGCATAATATAAATGCATACAATTATTATTATTAAATACTGTCTACTATCAATAAATAATTATATATATATTTATCATAAATATTTATTTGATAACTAGTATATTATCAAAAATTTAATGATAAAAATATTTTTGTTGATAAAATTTAAAAAAATAAAAATTTGGGCTATCAAAATATAAAATAAATTTATAATATATATATATATAAATATTGTATATTTAATTAAATTTTATATTTATTAGTAAAAAATATAAAATAATAAAATACTGTAAGCTATGATAATTAATATTACAGTTAAATATAATAATAATAATAATAAGACACACAAAAAATAATAATAAACAATTAGTTATTAAAAACTAATAAATAGAAATAACATAAAATTAAAAGTTATGACTTTTTTTCAAAAAATAATAATAAAAATTAATTTTTTGTTTAACTCTTATAGTAATTATTGTAACTTTTGGCTGTAGTAGTAGTGGTATAATAATCATTATAAGAGCTGGTAGTTTCATAATAGCCATTATTATTATTATAATTATCATTATCATAGCCATCATCACTATTATCATCGTATCCGCTATCAGTATAGTATGGATAATAGGATGGTGTAGTAGTACTGGTATAATAATAGGTCGACTTATAGGGATAGTAGTGATGGTGATGATCGACACTATAGTATTTGTCCGGTTTTTTGGTGGTTGTCGTTGTTGTTGTTGATGTATAGTATGGCTTGTGATAGTAGTAGTAATTTTTAACAGGTTTTGCCGGTTTATAGACAACATAGGTGTGCGGCGGTTTTGGATAATATTTTCCGTGATGGCCATAATGATGATTATAACCGTGTTGATGATGATGATGGCCACCACCATAGTTGCTGGCCGACGGATAGGGAGGATAGGCCGGATAGTATGGATTTGATGGATAGTATGGTTTTTTAGTTGTTGTCGTTTTTTTCGTATAGTAATAGTTATTATTGGATGGCGGATAGGGATAGGGCGGATAGTGGTGGCCATAATTGGGCATCGGATACATTATGGGATAGACCGGGTAGTGATGATATGGGGGTTTGGTTGTCGTACTAGTAGTCGGCGCTGGTGTTGTCGTAGTAGTAGTAGTTGTTGTAGTAGTATAATGATAGCCACCACCTCCGTAGTGGTGACCATAGGCCGGGTAATAGATAGGAGGATAGACATAAAAATTGTTACCATTATAACCATATTTGCCGTATGCGTGGTCACCGCTGGCGGGAGCGGCGGCAACGACGGCAGCATTATTGGCCACCACCGGTACGACTCGTAACACTTGAGTTGATGTTGTGTCGGCAGCTGTCGTCAATGTTTGGGACGCCGTAGCCGATGTTTTTTGGTCGGTCGTGGCCAGTGCTACCAGTTTTATATCAGAGCCGCCGCCGCCACCACCAGTATTGACCAACTGTTGCTGAGGTATTGTAATCACTGGTAGTGTTGTCTGTTGTTGGGTTCCGGTTGTCAGTTGGGCTGTAGTGGCCGCTGAGGCCGCCGACGACGCTGACGATGCAAAGGTCAATGTTTGCGGAGCTACCGATGTCTGAGGCGACCGAAGTACTACCAGCCGTGACATAACCATTGACTTTGAATAAATGTATTGAAAAAATAGTCACAATTTATATATATATATATATATATATATATTATTAACAATTATTTTTGTTAAAAAATAATAATTATTATTATAATGAATATTACTGTAAAATCCTATTATTATTATTATTATTATTATTATTATTAACTAAATTAGTAAATAATAATAATTTTTTAGCATAATATATATATTTATTATCATAATAAATATAGCTTATAATAATATATATTATTAACTTTTATTTTTGTTAATTAATATATATAATATATTACTGATAATGAATATTACTGTAAAATCCTATTATTATTATTATTAACTAAATTAGTTAATAATAATATTTTTTTAGCATATATATATAGTTATCATAATAAATAATTTATTAGCTTACCGGTATAATGAACCGGGCGCCCACAAACGCACCGGCAGCCATTAGGGCTAACTATTGTATAAGTTATTATAAAAAAAAAATAAAAAAAATAAAAAAAATAAAAAAAATAAATATTTTATAAACAATTTTTTTAAAATTTTGTAAAAACTTACCTGCGGTGCCGTCAAAACCATAGTATATATATTTTTAAAAATAAAAATTAATTATTTTTTTCTCTCACAATTGTTAAAAACAAATTTTACGAAAAACAACAAAAATTAAAATTATAGAAAATTAAAAATTAAAACTTTAGTTTTTTTTGCTATCGCACAGCCATTTAAAAAAAATTAATAAATGATTTTTCCAACAAAAAAAAATCAATGATTCAGATAATAGTCATCATAATTGTAATATTATTATTATTATTAAGCCATTTATTTGTTAAAGTGAAAATTTGTGTCAATAAATTTTCTTATATTATCACCTAATGTAAAAATAATAATAATAACAATAATAATAATTAATTACAGTAAATCTGAGATATATATACTGCATATATATACTGTATATATATATATATATATATATATATATATAAAGTGAAACAAAATATGAAACAAATAAACACAAAATAAAATAAAAAATAAATAAAAAAAACTAGGTTTCAGGTAATGATTGTCATTATTTAGATATATATATATATATATATATATATATATATATATATATATATATATATATATATATTTGATGAGAAAGTGCTGATCAATGTATTAGAGGAAGGTATGGATATATTTGACAAAACAGGTCTAATATTATACTATAAAATATTAATTTTTTTATTTATCGACTATTTTAAGTTTATTATATTTTATTATACTATTACATAATTTATTCAATATATATATATATATATTTATTTATACTTATATATAGAGAGAGATAGTGTTGCTCCAGATTATTAAACTTTATATATATATATATATTCAATGGATGAATGTCTAAAAAATTTATTATTATTTAACAAATATATAAATATATTGTTGCACACATAGACATCAATGTCTATTATCTTTAATTTTATAATCTTTTTGTTATTTATTTTATACTGTATCTTATTTTTAGTACATTTTATTGTCTTATATTTACACATATCATTATCATTGACCTTTCAATACCTACCTTTCCTGGAACTGCCTGTCATTGACCACATCCAGTGGCTCCTCAATGACCGGTCAGTATCCTGGTAAGGGATTATCTACTATACAAACCAACCAATACCTGTATCTCCCGCCATACATACCTCTCTATATAAACCCTATCCACTGTACATACACTCCAGTGTTTCACTGCCTCTCAGTCAGTGCTTCTCATACTCCCTTACTGTGCACATCGCTGCCAGTCATTACTGCTACTAATACCTGAGCCAAGCCTCAGCACCTATACCTGTCTCACACATACACTCCACGTGTCCTCTTAAATACTTACCATTTGTATCACCATTTGATCCATTGTTTTACAATAAACTTGTTATTTGTTATCAATCGTGTCTTCATATCATTCATACATATCAGTGATCGGTCTGACCATTCAGTCCACTGATATCTACAGACATACCGTTCGCTGGCCAACCACTCACTGTAGGAGAAGACATCGGAGATTAGGATCACTCCTAAGCCTAGCCTTTGGACCACAACTGCAGATCGGATCTCATATCACCTGTTGGTCTCACAACGACTTACTGGTGATCTTATAGTGGATATCTGTCTCATACCGACACATATCTACTAGTGTTTGGTATTGATTAGACGGAAGTACAGGTCTCATACCGACCCACGCTAAGTACGACCGGTCTATTTGGACATCAATTGTCTAAATAGACATTCCTCTGGAACTAAACAATACCACACCACAACAAATTGGCGCAGTCGGCACCGATCAACAATAGATCCCTATCTACGCGTATTGATGTCCACTCCTATTATCTCTGGCTTAACAAGACACGGGACATCATATCTACTTCAAGACAACATATCTGACGAGACAACCACTGAGTCCGAAGAAATGTCTCAATGCGGAGACAACACAAACAATGCTGACCTGACCGGTCCAACCGCTCTCAGCACTTCCAATGGCACAACAGCTCCGCAACTCATTACTGTAAAGATACCGAAGTATAATGGCTCTAAAGACACACCACTCCGTATAGAAGCATTCCTCCAGATCTTCGAGCGTGTATTCACTCATCTATCCGACGACAACAAACTTATTAAAATCGTTGAATTCCTCGAAGGAGACGTCGCCAACTACTATGGATCAGATATACTCACCAATCTATCCATCACTTGGACCGAAGTCAAGGACCTCTTGACCGGTCGATACACCCATTCAGATATACCTCCAGAAGTAGCCGCAACTCGACGACGTCAACAAAGAACTGAAACCATCCGCACCTACTTCGATGGCAAAATGGAAATCCTCCGCCGCCTAACCAACTATACGGACAGCCAACGCGCTAACCTACTTACAGAAGGCCTACTTCCCGAATACCGTGAATACTTCTATGGCCGCCGCTTCCAGACTCCGAGCTTATGGCTCGAGATGGCTCAAGATATTGAAGCCGACAAACAACGACATAACAGACAGCACCGGCCGCAAGGATCGTCTCACTACACATCCAACAACAGAGGCGACCGGTCCAACAAAAAGCATAGCAAACCAAATCAGGACAACAACAACCGCTCAGACAAACGTCCGCCATATTCATGTCGTATATGCCGCGACAAAGGACTTACTTCATGGCATTATCACAAAGACTGTCCACACAAATCATCCGACTCTTCATATGACAGACAGCCCAACAATGACAACAACGGTCACACCTCCGAAGTGACCGGTCCTACAAACCATTTCATCCGTCCGCAAGCAATGGCTACTCATGTCGTAGCGCAAGACATGATACTGATTCCTGGGCGCATCGGACGCTTCGAATTATCCGCTCTCGCAGATCCCGGTTCCACCGTCGACTTGATGCCACTACATGTAGCAAAGCACCTCCGTCTCCGCATCGACACACGCAAGTCGATGACCATCTCATTGGCCCGTGGATCTGTCCACACTTTAGGTGAGGTTACCTTTACGCTCACCATGAATAGGATGCCGCGCACCGTAACAGCACAAGTACTGCCTGGCTTTCAGTACACTCTACTCCTATCCCTCCGCTCTCTTGGACTCTACGACATCCTTATCGACACCAAAAATACTAAAGCAATATTCAGATCATCACAACCGCTGACCGGTCAGCAATGCCAAGCCATTAGCAGTCGCCTACCTATTCATCCAAACCGGCGACCGGTCAGCCCATTGAATCAAAATAATCAACAGTCCACCATTTCTACTACTTCGCCCCGCATAGGATTGGCCGCCAATCAGCCAACACGACACCGTCAGTATCGTCAGTCACATCAACAGGCGCCACAAGCCAGCCGAGTTATTGAGACGCCCAGTGCTCTCACACAGGTAAGCGTGAGTACTACCGCTGTACCGGTAACTTTGGTAAACTCTAAAGCCGATACAAATGCCGCTTGTCGTATGACTACCGCCGACCAATTCCTATGTGAACCTCCAGCCATCCAAACATCTCAACCATCAGACTCTGGACCGATCCCTACTCCTCCAGCTGTCACCCGTCTAAAGCCTTCTTCAACTTTCAAAGAGATGTTCGATAATATCCGCAAATCCAGACCTACCACACGACAACCTACCGTCAACTCTACTCCGGACAACCACTCCAACCGTACCTACAAACAGATGTTCAACAAACAGCCGCCTAATTCAATACCGGACCGATCGACGCAATCATCGCACCGTCGAACCCGATCTCCTGGTCCGCGTCGGACATCTGTGGCCACATCTATCCTCCGCGACCAGTCTTAAAGCGCCGGGGAATGTTGCACACATAGACATCAATGTCTATTATCTTTAATTTTATAATCTTTTTGTTATTTATTTTATACTGTATCTTATTTTTAGTACATTTTATTGTCTTATATTTACACATATCATTATCATTGACCTTTCAATACCTACCTTTCCTGGAACTGCCTGTCATTGACCACATCCAGTGGCTCCTCAATGACCGGTCAGTATCCTGGTAAGGGATTATCTACTATACAAACCAACCAATACCTGTATCTCCCGCCATACATACCTCTCTATATAAACCCTATCCACTGTACATACACTCCAGTGTTTCACTGCCTCTCAGTCAGTGCTTCTCATACTCCCTTACTGTGCACATCGCTGCCAGTCATTACTGCTACTAATACCTGAGCCAAGCCTCAGCACCTATACCTGTCTCACACATACACTCCACGTGTCCTCTTAAATACTTACCATTTGTATCACCATTTGATCCATTGTTTTACAATAAACTTGTTATTTGTTATCAATCGTGTCTTCATATCATTCATACATATCAGTGATCGGTCTGACCATTCAGTCCACTGATATCTACAGACATACCGTTCGCTGGCCAACCACTCACTGTAGGAGAAGACATCGGAGATTATCACTCCTAAGCCTAGCCTTTGGACCACAACTGCAGATCGGATCTCATATCACCTGTTGGTCTCACAACGACTTACTGGTGATCTTATAGTGGATATCTGTCTCATACCGACACATATCTACTAGTGTTTGGTATTGATTAGACGGAAGTACAGGTCTCATACCGACCCACGCTAAGTACGACCGGTCTATTTGGACATCAATTGTCTAAATAGACATTCCTCTGGAACTAAACAATACCACACCACAACAATATTATATTTTTAACATTCTGTAAAATATGTTAAAATCTTAAAAAATTAATTTAAAAAAATTTATTATTATATAATTAATTTTAATTTAATACTAAGATTTAATAATTAATTAGCAAATTAATGGTTTATCACGAAATTATTTTTCTAAAATTTTATATATTATACTTAATGACATTTATTTAAAATTTATTTTTATGTTAATTTTTAAAAAAAAAATTTTTAGTGCCATTCAATTAGAGTAAATCAATTGAGACAAACTTAACTTATTTAAATAAATTTCAAATTATCTAGTTTTTTGTTAAATTAAATTTTCATTAATTAATTAGTCAATTAAACAAAAAAAATATTTTATTTTAAATATATGTTTTTAAAAAAAAATTAAATCATTTATTACATAATATAAAAATAACTATAAGATTTTATTTTGTAAAAAAAATTAAGTAAGATTTATTTAACAAAAGTAAAAAAAATATTAAATAAATTATTTTTTAGCTAATAATATACGAATTAAATTTTGTTGTAAAAATTTTATAGTTATTTAAAAAAAACAATTTTGTAAATTGTAATTACAAGTACTTTAATATAATTATATTATTAATAATTTTTTTAAAAAATATTAAAACAATAAATTTAGAGTATTTTTTTTGTATTATTAAGTATTATTGAGATTATTATTATTATTGATTTTTAATTACTTTAATAATAATAATTATTATTAACATTATAAATATAATGATGATTATGAGTATTTGAGATATTCATTAACTGTAATTATAGTAATTTTTTTGTTTGTTTGTAAATTTTTTTGTTTGTTATTAACATTATATTAATTTTTTTGTCATCAATGTTTGTTAATCATATTATACCTGTATATTGATATACAGGTATTTTTTTAGTGAACTAATTTGGTGCTTATGGAGATTTGAGGTTTCATACCAGTGATGGCACCAAACCATTGGCCCAGTATATTAGGCAACGATGCTATACGAGAGGTGGCCATTGAATTGCGGTTCATCAGCCATGTGACCACTGGCTTGAATGTTTCGGGCACCTGTAGGTCAACAATAATAATATATATATAGTTACTAATTATTTATATATTGTATATGAAAACTTTTTTTTTAGAAAATTATAGATCAAATCTATTTTTAATTAATTGAATTGAATTAATCTGATAATAATTATTTTAAACATTTAATTATTAAGTTATTTTCTAATTTGTAATAAAAAAAAGTGATGACAAATTCAATAAAAAAAAATTACATTTAGTATATAAATAGAAATTATTATTATTATGATATATTGTGTATATATGTTAACTTTAATATAAATTATTTAATATTTGATATGATAAAAAAGTGTTACTAAAAATATATTGTAAATGATAATACTAATAATAATACTAAACTAGAAATATAATATTTTAATCAATAAATTAATTTAATAATAATAGTATATTAATAGTGTACTAATAGTAATGAAATAAAATATAATATAATAATAGTAATGATAATACTAATACAGTATTATTATTAATATATATCTATTAGATATTACTAGATATTTAATGTGATTATTATTATTACTAAAATTACTAAAAATTATTTAATCATTACTTAGTAATACAAATATTATATATATATATATATAAATCATTATTAGATTAAAATATGATATCATTAATATATGGGATATTTAACAAACAAAAAATAAATAAATATAAATCACATTAAAAAAATTAATCATCAATTACTAAATAGATATAATAATAATAATAATAAAATAGTTATTTATATTTTATACAACTTATATAAGTTATATAAAGTATATTATTAACTATCATATTATTACTAAAAATAGTTTACATATATATACATGTATTGATATTTCATTCATCAAAAGGGACAGTTAGGTTAGTCTAACGGTACTTACTTTGAACGGTATGAGTGCATTGTTGATATACTTGGCCACATAGTAGTCAATTTCTTCGACAACATGATCGGCCAGCATCCAAAACAATAGTGGACCCAATTCGTGGGCTACATGAGCGCCAGTAGCCTCGCTAACCGATTGGTCGGCCGGAACTGGCTGACCGTCCAGACGTTTCAGATTGACCTTAACCCGATGAAAGTCAACCAGCGGCGGATCGGCAGTAGTCACCCGAAACGTACCGTTATCCAGTGCTAGGTTAACCTGTGTCCTCAACAATACGTCCGTATACTCCAGTTGACCGTAGCCTTCACCGCGTACATCGAATACTTGATAGACGGTACCGTTGGCCGAGTATTGGCAATTGGCGGTCAGTTTTGGCATCATCAATGCTACACGAAACTTGAGGGCATTCAATTTCGGTTTGAGCTCCCTGAGCTGAAAGTCAGATATGCCAGTTATCTGCAGATCGCTGAGTACAATGTTAAATGGATCGCCACCTATGGTAGGCTCCAAATTGATACGATCCAAACGCAGCGGATCCAGTGGCGGTATGGCCATCGATGGTATGCCTAAACCATAATTTTTAAAAATAAATGTTTATTTAGTAGGTGTGTATGTGTGTGTGTATGTGTGTGTGTATGTGTGTTTATGTGTGTGTATGTGTGTGTATGTATGTGTGTGTATGTATGTGTGTGTATGTATGTGTGTGTATGTATGTGTGTATGTATGTGTGTGTATGTATGTGTGTGTATGTATGTGTGTCTATATGTGTGTTACCAATCGCGATATGATTAAACAAAACCAACAACAAAAAAAAACTAACCGCTTTTCATCTTAGATCGGAACCGATCGACAATAGTTTCGGTAAGCAATTGGGTAAACGAGTCTTCCAGCTGTTGTGTTGAGTCCGACTCCATAAATGAGTCCCGAAACGGACGGATCTGGTTTTTGCTTGAATAGGAAAATACCGTTCCTTTCAATATAGATATATATAGAGAGAGAGAGAAAGAGTGACAATTAGCACAGGTATGATAATATGATAATGATATCAATATTAGAATAGCTAAGTGTAAACTATATTAATTAATTAATTAATTAATTATAATTACAAGCAATTTGTATACAAATTAAATAAATATGATTTATCATTATATAAATATATAATTTTATTTTTTAAAAACTATAATTTTTTAAATAATTAAGTAATCTATAGTTTTTTTGAAAAAATAAAATAACCATGTTTAAATATTAATCTGCACATTATAAAATCTATTTAGTTATAGTTTAGTTATCATTACAACTTATAGTACTTATAAAAATTATTGCTTAATTATAATTGTTTATTTATAGATATTTAATAATAATTTTAAAAATAACATTATTTATTTAACAAATATTGTTTTACTAACTTGTAATTGACTTAATAAAATCTGCTTAAACTTTTAAGCACTTAATACTATAATAATTATATTGTACTAAAAATAAACTTTTCTATTTATTTAATGATTAAAAAATATATATAAATAATTTTCTAATCACTTATTTTTAAGTCAGATAATTAATTATTAGTCACACTTATTTTTTTAAGTCACATATAATTAATAATAATATTTAACATTTATCTAAAAAAAAATATATATATATATATAATACGTTTTTTACCTTTATATGAAATATCCTGTAATCCTATAAATTAATTAAATAAAAAATAATTAACAGAAAATTAATATAAAATAATAATCATCATAGTTATAAAATTTTAATTTACATTAAAATTATTGAAAAATTTTAATATTATAAATTTTATCTATAATATATATATATATATGACATACTTCGGGGCAATTTCATAGTTACCGACGGTGTCTCAAATGATGAACACAATTGCAGACAACATATTATTATTAATAATAATGTCATCGCTATTGTAATGACTAAACAATTATTATTATTATTATTATGTTTTTTTGTCGCATTTAATAAAAACATTATTATTATTATTATTAGTTGTTAAATAATTGTTAAAATCATATACTTAATAAATGATGATGATGATAAGTTATTATACAGTATAATAAATGAAATAATTTACTCAAAAAAAAAATAATATGAAATAAATATAGCAAATTGTGTTTTAAATAATTATATTTAAAAAAAATAATATAACTTTTTTTTAAACAAAAAATTTAATATTTAAAACAATAAAACACACAATTAATTTAAATTTTGTTAACAATATACTAATAAATATTAAGTTATTAGTATTATTATTGATGTGCACACATCACACACAGAGTGTAATATCAAAAAATTTGAAAACTTAAAAATAACACACATATACAGTGAGAGATATACCACTTTGCAAAAAAGCTAACTGTGCATTTTTTTAAATAATATAATATAAGGGAACACCGTTTCTGGGATGGATAGCACTAACAACAACAACAAAAAGACACACATTTAACACACATATGTGTGTACTGTATATATAACTTATTTATGTGTGCAGACAAACCGTGAATATCAAGTTCAGGGTCGGTCTACTACTGGGGTATATAATAGTGGTTCAGTAGTGTTGGTGTTGTTGTTATTATGACTGTTATATTATATATATATTGACACCAACTCTATATGTGCTTAATGTCTTCAATATAGGGATAGTTAGTTAGTTAGTTAGTAAAGTAGGGGATGGCCTCAATAATTGTATGCCCGAACCCGCCATCCATAATGTTTAGTTAGTTTGTTTTTTTTTGTTGGCGAAACGGTTTAATAAACCGAAACCGATTTTCTTGTTGTTGTTGTGTTTAGTTATGGATCAGATGATTGCGGTGAAAGAGAGAGAGAGAGAGAGAGAGAGAGAGAGAGAGAGAGAGAGAGAGAGAGAGAGAGAGAGATAACCAAAAACAATATACTAATAATTAGTATATAATTTTTTTTAAATAGAAATTGATTTTTAATTTTTTTTAAATAGTTAATAATAGTAGTTATTCAGAGTATTTCTATTATATATACTGTTATATATTGTATATATATTGAGCAAAATAATAATAATAATTAATATACATATGAGTACACAAAAAAAATCAATGGTATGCATAATAAACTGTGTATAACAACAACAACAATAAAAAACAAAAAAAAACAAAAAACAAAATAATTGGTTAATCTATTTTTCTCACTTTAATCTATAAACTCTATTGAATAATAATTACTATTAAAATATATATATTTTTTTAATATTAAAATATTATATACAGTATATCTTATATATATAGATATATCTATGATGACCTCAATATATATATATATTATACTTACAGTAATATATTATAGATAGTATATATCTGTGAACAGGATCTTGAATTATAAAAAAAAATTACTAATAAAATAAATATTGAATTATAATAAATGCTACTTAAATTTTTTTAGTGTATAGAATATATTTAAAATAATAATAATAATAATTAGATTGAATAATAATTAAATATTTTTGTTATTATGTAAACTTTTGTATAAATAATTTAAACTTGAATTTAAAACTAATATATTTAGTATACTATTTAGTATTATCATAATTATTATATAACCATATATCAATCAATATATTCAATTAATAAATTATATTATCTAAACTATTTACATATGAAAAGTAGTACTATTATAATAAATAAATTTATTTGTTATCAGATAACAGATAATATATATAAATTTTAAAACTAATTATTTAGACAATATATATATATATATTCATAGAAAATATATAGTACTAAAATGTATACTAAAAATTTAAAAGTCTAAATATAATTTTATTTTTATTTTATTTTTTGTTAAAAAATAAAACACATTTGAATTATAAATTATATACTCTCTATAAAAGTAGTCAAACAGGAAGTCTACTATAAGTCTCTCTCTCTCTCTCTCTCTAAATATATATTTAAAGATTTTTCATTCAACAAAAAAAAAGTTATAAATTATAAGATAATTAATGTCAAGTTTTTTTTGGGGGTCACAAGAGTGCCCCTGAAATATATACCCAAAAAAATAAGATAAGTCGAGCAATAGGTCTCAAAGTCAGTGTGTGATTACAACAAATGTAACACAATTTTTTGTTGTATTAAAAAACTAATATTATAATATATATATATTTACTGTAATTTGCATTTTAATGGAAAATATTAATTAATAAATAAATATATATATATATACCAACCGTTTATAATGTATACCAAAAAAATGTCCAAAATATTGGCCACAAAACAATTACTTATACAACAAAAATCTAAATTTAAATTATAGTATATTTTTTTAGACAACAAAAAACTTATAGTAAAAATTTAAGTATAAATAATAATTATATATATATAAAAAAAATTATATAATAAATTATCAATAATTTTAGAGTAACTAATATATATATATATAACTATATTATAAATATGTAAATAAATAAAACACATATTTGTTTTTTTTTATTAAATTCATTTTTATTTTATTTAAATTTTTTTCATCAAAAAGGGAGCTAATGTTTCACAAAAATGTAAAACAAAAAAAATGTATTTAACTTTTTTTCTGTATTATCTGTCTGTTTGTGTTTATTTTTATTTATTTAATAATAATTAATATTTATTTATTAATAAACAATTTTCTCATGTCTTCAATAAAATTTCATTTATTTATATATATATATATAATAATTAATTCAATTAATTAATTAAATTGTTTGTTGTATTGTATTGTGTAAGTGATGTTTGTGTTGTGTTTGTGTCGATGATATTCAATGGGGAGAAAAAACAATATAATAATAATAATAGTATTATTATTATTATTATTATTATTATTATTATTAATTAAAAAATGGTGTGTTTTTTCATCGAAAATTATCTCTATATTTATTCAAAAAAAAAATTAATAATTATTTATTGAAATGACAAACAAAAAATAAAAATAATTATAATTATAATTATAATTATATAATAATAATAAAGAGTTGAACGCGAAATGTATTGAACACTTGAATGAAATGATTGAATGAAATGATGTGTGAAAAAAATGATGAGAAAAATAATAATAATAATAATAAATCAATAATTATAATAATAATAATAATTAATTAATTAATTAATAACTTATGACATATGTGTGTATTTTGTTTATCAATCAATGAATTATACACAATATGTATGTATTTATATATAGATATATATAAATGATTTATCATTTATTTTTAAAAAAATTATATTAATTTTTTGTTTTCATTATTAATTATTTCACAAAATATCAAATTCATTCATTCAAACAATTTATTTATTTATTTATGTATTTTCAATGAAAGGGATGAGTGTTTCAAAATAAAATAAAAATAATGATTTGTTTAATTCAGTTTAATATGTTTTTGTTTATCTGTCTGTCTATCTATATGTCTGTGTTTATGTATGTACTGTATGTGTATTTATAGTTGCTTTTTTGGGGAACCCCCCCCCCCCATACACTCCCCCTGTTTTCAAGGAGGGCGGTCTGGGTGTGGGGGGAGTGGGGGGGGGTCTTAGCAAACAATTTTTTTTTGGTTTTGGTATTTTAAACCAACAACACAATGAAAATAATTATAAAAAAAACAATGAAATACACACAACAACAACAAAAATATAATAATAATAATAATAAGCGATACAGTGATTGAAAGATGAAAAAAATTAATAATCAATTTTCAGAGATGATGTGCTGGTAGTTGTTGTTGCTGTTAGACACCGACAAAAAATACGGCTAATATTTTTTGCCACCCCCCCCTCCCCCGAAAAATTTATTATTATTTAATTTAATATCTAATTTCAATGTTGTTGTGTCTTCAATGGGGGTATCAATTAAAATGCTTGGATGATAGTGATGCTATGATTTGTTTTTTTCGGGTCCACACACACACACCCACACACAAAAAACACATATACAATGTCTGTATAGAGCACTGGTATGTGTGTGTGTGTGTGTGTTTGATAAACATTTTGTTGTTGATGTGTGTGTTTGTGATGACCTAATGATAGGTAAAAATGATTTGTTTTTTTTTTTGTTGAATAGTAGTAAAGTTCCCCCAAATTTAATAATATTTGATAACAAATATTGATTTTTTTTGTTGATGATTATACACAAACACACAAATAGATGATGACAATGATGATGGTGATGATGATGATGAGGTAATTAACACACATAAACACATTGTATATATATATAAATTGATGGCTTAGTTGATTTTCACAACAGAAAAAAACATAACAATTATATATATATATATGATAAGCACAGGTAGTTAGTTAATCCTCAATCAAATCACATCCCAAACCATTTTTTAGTCTGTTTGTCGATAATTAAGAGGACGGGCTTTAAATTACAAATATTTATATATAAATTCAATGATGATATAAATAAAACCAATAACTCTCTCTCTCTCTTTGTTTTAATTATCGCACAATTTTTTTTGAATATAAAAATGGGATGACTTTCAAACCCATGTGTCTGTGTGTGTGTGCTATCATATAAATATATATATATATATATATAGTCAGTCAGTCATAAATAAATAAAATATGATTATCATTATTATCATCAAAAAAAATCTAATTATGTAATAATGTGTTTTTGAATCAATATATATATATATATATTTGGGGGACTTTTTTTTAGCACTTATTTGTTTTCTCAAAGCAAAACAACAATTAAAAAAAAATGTTTTGCTATAAAAATTATTATTTCATTTAATACACAAATATATATAAAAAACAATTTGTGTTTGTTTTATCTTTGCTGATGAGTTTTGTTGTGACAATAATTAGTATATTATTATTATTATTATTAAAAAATAATAATAATAATTTTGTTTGTGTTTTGTTTTTGTGTAAATGTAATAAAAAAAATTATTTTTATCACTAATTAAATTGTTTTGTTTGTGTGTTAGCAATGATAGTGATGATGATGATGACTTAAAAATTATCAATTAATTTTATTTTTTACAATCAATTAATATATCGTAATTATAATTCAAATTCAAAAATTATATATCAATCATTTCAATAACAATTAATTGTTTGTTTGTTTGTTTGCTTTTTTAAATGTTTGTTTGTCTAATCAATATATAAATAAATTGTTGTTTCAATTTATGTATATATATATATATATACATATAATAATATATTTAAATAATTCAATTGACCTAATGATGTGTTGTTATTGTTGTCTAAAAAATATGAGATTTGTTTTTCTTATTTAAAAAAAACATTTGTTAAATAATAATTATAATAATAGATACACAAAAAAAAATTATATTAAATATTATAAATTCACACATAAAAAAAATTTCTACACACATAATATTAATTTTAAAAATATTATCAATAAAATCAATTTTCTCTATTAATTTTACTTATAAAACTGATAAATTAAATTTAACACTAATTATATAATAATTATAAATATAATAAAAAATCAAATAAGTTTTACTACATATTAAATACTAATCATTGAAACGGTTTGACTAACAAAAAAAATCATCAAAAATAAATAAATTCAATAATTATTTTCATTTTGTTTGTTTGTTTGGAAAACCGTTTGTTATCTAAAAATTTAACTAAAATAAAAACACAATTTTTTTACATATAAAAAAATTACACTAAATTTAACTGTCTGTCACCTAAAATTAAACAAATATATTATTATTATTATTATTATATTATATATCATATATATATATATATAAACAAATGTCGAGATCTTTAATGGTCGTCATGTCTTTAGACATATCAAACATAAAAACAATGGGAATGTAAAAGACATGTCGTTATTATCATTAATTAAAAATTGTTTTTCAATTTACATTATTTTTTTTAAAAAAAAAATCTTAATAATAGTCATTATTATTATTATACTATAAAAAGCATTTATAGAAATCCTCTCACAACTTATTATTTTTTGTTTACTAAAAATCAATAATAAATACAATATTATTATTATTATTATAACAATTGATTTGCATTTTTTTGTTGGTATTCCCCTCACTATCTCTCCAGAGATGATGTTTTATATTTATTTTCATGAAAAAAATGTTTTACATTTTTTTCTATCAATAAAATTTAATATCAAAAAGAGACCTATTTTTTTAAAAAAAAATCTTAAACTAAAATAATTTAGTTAACTTTAGCAAATAAAAAACACTTGATTTAACTATAAATTTTGTTACGTATATAAATATATATATACATATAATATACTGTATAAAAATTAATTACTATTTATTTACGATTACTAATTAATAAAAACATTAATTTTGTATAAACTTTCTCTAAATACAGTATAATAATAATAATAATAATAATAATAATAATCATCAAAATTACATTAATAATAGGGAATTAAATTTTTCGTTAATAGTTATTATAATAATAATAATAATTTACATACAATAAGAAAATAATTAGTCGATAGCAAAAAAAATGTCTCCAAAAAATGGCTTTTCATTTAGTCTCCTAAAAAACATTATTATTATTATTAATCCTTCAAATATAAAACAATTGTATTATTAATTAGTTTTTTTTGCTGTTTGTTTGTTGTTTGATAGCAAATAAAAACAAAACTTAATTATTATTAATATTTCTAATATAAATCCAATGGAATGAATGTTTTTCTATACAATAATTACATTATTTCTAATAATAATAATAATAATACTAATGATAATCATAATAATCATAATTAATTAATTATCACAATTTGTTGTTTTTTGTTTGTCTCTAAATTTTTTGAATAATATATAAGTATATATATATATTTAACATATTTTTATACATTTTTTTATACAAAATGCATTAAATTTTTGAAAAAATATTTTTTTGAAAGAAAAGTTAATAATCAAACAAATTGTTCGCTAAATTTTTAATTATTGTTTTGTTTTTGTTGTGTGTTTATTAAATATTATTTTTTAATGTTTTTTTTTTAATAAATATTTTGTTGAATGAGAGAGGGGATCATATTTGGTCAATATTTGTACAATATTTATACATGTATATTATACATATATATATATATATTTCTAATTAAATATATAGATATATATATATACGTAAATAGTTATAAATATCAACAATTTTTTTCAATCATTATTATTATTATTATTATCAATATTGTCATCATCATCGTTAAAAATATTATTTATCCAAAAAAAAATCATTTTATAGCAAAATAAATCCTAATTATTAGTATAATCATTATTATTATTAAAATTGAATTATTATTATTATTAATAATATTAGTATTAATTGATTACAATTGTGTTGAAGGCTTGACTGGTATTTTATAGACCAATCGTTGTTTTTTTAAAATTACATAATTTTTTTGTTTGAATTATACAAATTTGGTTGTATTTAATATAAAAGCCCTGATTTTGTTTATTTTATTGTTTCAATAAAATCAATTTAAAAGGGGTTTTATTTAATTTTGTTTATATATCCTTATTATTAATAATATTAATTATTATTTTAAAAAAAATAACATAAAAAGATGATTTTGTTGAATTATTATCATTATTATTAGTATTAATTAATTTATAAAAAAACACAATTTTGTTGTTGTTGTTTGGATTAGTGATATAAAAAAAAAATTCAAATCAATTAATTATTTAAAAAAAATTGTTTAAATAAAATCAAATAAAATTGAATTAAATAATAATAATTATATATATAAAAAAAATGTCGATTGTTTTTTTGTTTTGTTGGTCATTGATTTTTGTTTGTTTTCAATAATTTCTTATATATTTTTTTATAAATCAAACTAAATTATTAATGATTAATAAACTATTTTTTATAAAAAAAAAATCAATCAATCAATCAAATGGAAGATCAATGTATATATCAATCAATATATCAATTAATATATATATATAAGACAATGGTTTATGTGTTTTATGTTTTTTGTGTTTAAATGTGTGTATAATATGTATGTATTTTGTTGTTGTTGTTGTGTATGTGTATTAAAAACCTATTATTTTTTGTGTTTATTTGTTTAACTCTTATATTTTTTGTGTTGTTGTTGTCTTCAAATGTGTCCAATCATTTCAAATGGTTGGTTAGGTATGTAAGTGTGTTGTTGTTGTCGACATCGTAGTCATCAATTGGTACGTCCAACCCATCCCATCATTTAGACTGATTGTACATTTGATACGAATGCTGATCCTCGCCGGAAGCCGATCCCGAACTAACCGAATGATTAGGATTGGACGGGTCGTCGCCGCCCATCGGTCCCATCGTTTGGATCAGTTGTGTCGGATACATGGCATTGCCGTAGGCGGCGTGCGGATTGCCAGTCACATAGGAGGCACCCGATACACCCGACAACTGTATTTGGGACATCTGGGCCGTCAACTGGGGCATCAGTGTACTAAAGTGTAGGGTGTTTGGATCGACACCGGGTATGACCTGTGCCATGTGATGTGGCTGTACAATGTACTGGGTGGGCGCCTGTGGGTGCAGCCACGGTGTTGTCTGCAGTGCAGTTGGATAGGCAGCCGATACGGGTGTCGAATACTGGCGCTGATACTGGCTCATAGCCGACTGCATCAATGGTGTGGCCACACCGTTTTGTGTTAGGCCGGAGCCATCGTACGATATGGGTATGGGTTCACCGTCTCGCCACCGGCCGTCGGATGTCTTGAACTGAGACTTCTTTTTGGTACCGCCGTCGGCAAACTTGACCAGAAGGGCCTCTTTACAGGTGGGAAGCAGTTTACCATTGAATATAGTGATGATTGACTCGCATTTCTCTTTGCTTTCCATACTTTATTTTTTTTGTTGACAAACAAACAAACAAACAATTAGTTAGTAATTAAAAAGTTAAAAAGTATTTGTATGTATGAGGTAAGGGATCATCGATTGGGTGGATGTATGGTATGGGTGCCATGTATTAACATGGATAGATACTGGAGTACGACTGGTACATACCGGGCAAAGCCGACACCCCTTGGCTGCATATTGGCGTCTCTCAGTATGCGAGTTGATATGACAGTGCCGTACGGGGCCAGCATTGACTCCAGTTCCGTTTCGGTCATGTATGGCGGCAGGTTGGCTATGTATAAATTGGTCGGGTCCTGTTCCTGTTGCTGCTAACCAATAAAAAGGTTTAAAACACACGCACCCAACCAACCAACAAAAAAAACAAAAAATTAAAAAAAATCATATTAGCATTTTTGATGTCAAAATTAATTAATTTATAAATTATATATATATATTTAGCAATTATTATATATAGATATTAAATTAGATACTAATAATAATTATTATTATTATGTGCTAATTTAGGTGCTGTCATTAAAAATTAAAAATGCAAATAAACAAAATTTAGCTAGTAGAAATTTCATGCATATAATTACGGTAAATGTATGAAAAATATATATATATAATTATTTTACATTTAATTACATTTAAAAAGTTGCATAGGTTAAAATAATAATAATAAATCATAATTAATAATAATAATAAAGTTATTTAAACTAAATTATTATTAAATTATTATAATACATACATTACTTAATAAATAAAATTTACAAAAAAAACAAAATAATTAAATTATGTATACTAAATATTATGTAAATATAGTATATAATAACTGTATATAAACAGTATAAAAAAATTATAATTTAATAATTAAAAAACATAACACATAAATAACATAACATTTAAGGATATACATACAAAAAACACATTAAGGATAACAAAAACAATTAACAATAATAGATAAACATATATATAGTATATATAAAAGAGAGAGAAAGAGAGAAAAAACAAACAAATTGTGCATTTCGTGTGATAATTACATTACATAACAAAACAATGACAATAACAACAAAAAATACATTTAAAAAAATATTAAATTATAAACAACAACAACAAAAAATTAATTATGATATATATATATATATATATATATATATATATTAATAAAACAATAACAAAAAAAATATGTTATTATCATCTGTTATATCATCAAAAAAAATGTCTTAAGGTCTAAGTCCTCACCAATTTGTTTGTCTGCGGGGAAGTAGAAGAAGAAGATAGTTTGTTCCGATTTGTGTCAGTACACTGTGGTTATAGTGGAGGAGGAATAGGAGGTCATTATTATTATTAATATTATTATTTTGAAGGACAGTTGGTTTTTTTATGTATTGAATTTTAAAGGTGATGTAGAAGAAGGATCAGTTAATAAAAAAAAATAAAAGTTTTTGTTTGTTTTCAATTTGATTTCAATCGGATTTGTTTTTTTTAGGTGAAGAAGCAGCAGAAGAAGTGGTAGTAGTAGTAGTAGTAGAAGAAGACAACAATAATAATAACAACAACAACAACATCGACAAGAAGTAGGAGAAGCAGTGGTTAAATAGCGGTAGAGTTTTTGTATATATTTTTTTAAAAAAAATTGTTTTCAAATAAATCGTTTGTTTGATTTGTATTTTGTTTTTGATTTTGTTTTTTTTTTGATAGAGAAATGCGAAATAAAAAAAAGAGAGAGAAAAATGACATTATTAGAGACATTAAATATATTAATAACTTATTAGTAAATAAATTATTATTTAAAAAAAAATATATAAAATACATATTTATAAATAAATCTTAATATTTTAATAATATACAAACTAAATATAATAAATATAATACTAAATTTAAATTTTTAAAAAAAATTTAAGACTAAACTAGTATATATATATATATATAAATGTTTTAAAACAAAATATAATATTAATAATAACTTATGATAATATTCAACATATATTTAATAATAATAACTATAAGTAAAATAAATGATGGATAAAAATTGTTTTTTGAAAATAAACAAAACAAAAAACACAACACAAAATTTTTTACAACAAAAAATTAAAACAATTAATAATAAATTATTAACTTTTGGAGAAAACAAAATAAATAAAAACATAATAGGTTTTTAAAGTAAATAATTTATGTTTTTTGAAAACTTTTAATTTATTAAAACTATTAGTTGAGATTAAATAAAATAAAATTCAAAAAATAATAATAAACTACTAGATAATAGTGTGCAATCAATTTTCATTTTAAAAACTATACATATGTGTAAAGAAAACTAAATAATAAAAAACTAAACATTAACTTAAATATTAAATTTACTAAATATATATATATATATATAGAAAATCTAAAACTAAATTATCTACAAATAAAAAAAATAACACAAAAAATCAATTTTTATAATATATAAAAAATATTAACTGCAAAAAAATCTAATAAAATGAGATTAAAAGAGAAAATCGTTTTTTCCAACAAAAAAAATTATTTAATAAATAAATAAATGCATTAATAATGAAAAAAAACACATAAAGCTATTTATAAAAAAACACTCAAATCAAATATATGGAAAAAAACTAATTAAAAAAAATTATTATATAATTATTTATATATATATATTAATATTGAAATTAGTGGACAAAAAAAATATTTTAAACACTTAACAAATACAACAAAAAATATATAAACAAACAAAAAAAACACTACTAAGCAGTGAATTATTTAATAAATACTAACTATTATTATTATCATATATTTATTTAATATTATTAGAAAAAAACAAGATATGTTGTGTTAGCAAAAAAAAATAAAATAAAACTACAAATAAAAATAATAAATAAATCATAAATAGTGGGCAAACCTTAGCCATCTGTGCCTGAACTCCCTGTGTCTGCAAATTTTTGACCGCATTTTCCGCAGCAATCGGAGATTCAAAGTCCACAAAACCGTAACCTAAAAAAAAATTATTATTATTATTAATAATAATAACATTAATAACTAATATTTAAAAAAAAAATCACACAAACCTTTACACTTATTGGTATTTTTGTCGAGAATAGCTTTCGTTGATATTATAGTGCCGTAACTGTTATTATTAAATCATTAAAAAACAATTAATAAAAACTTAAATTCACTTTAAAAAAAACCAAATTTTTTTTGATTTTAATTGAACGATACATACGGCGAGCACAGGGCGTACAAGTCCTTGTCAGTGGTGGTCGGTGTTAGTCCGCGAATGTATAGATTGGTTTTGCTTAGCTGTTCGGCCAGCGATGAGTTGCCATTTTGTTGGCCACCACCACCGCCACCGCCTAAGCCAGTGTTGGCCATATTTCCGTTGCCAGTAACGCCGACGCCAGAGTTGGCCGATGCCGAACTGCTGGCCGATGCCGATCCGTTTGATGCCGTTTGCGATGAGCCGCCAGTGCTGGCCGTCGATACGGGTGGCGACGAGGCCGGCATACGTGAGCCCTGATGGCC